TTTTTTCCCTATAATTGGGGACAAATGGCGGAAACCCCCCCCTCCGGCCAAATGGAATTCAGGTTATTTTTACCCCCCCCCCCTCGCAGCGTATGGTACCGTGCTTGGTATTGTACTAGTACTGGTTCTGTACCTAGGCAAAGTGGGTTCGCCACCCCTCTTACAATATCACCCCCCCTCCCTCTGTTTCCCCCTTGTTGCCTCAATTGATCCACCCATCCATCCCATCCTGCCACCCACCCACACCTGTCCAAGGTATCCCCCCCCCTTCTCTCGTCTTCGAGAACACTTCCCGTCTGTCCTATTTATCCATTCTTACATAAACTGCATACCCCCCTTCCAGACCAGATACACCGAGCAACCTCCTCTTGATTTAAAAAGACCAGAAGGCTGAAAGGAACCGCAAACCAAAAACCTACGATAGACACAGTCGCAATGACAGAAGTGACGGCACCAGCACCAACGGGCACAGATACGAAGCCCAGTGTTCTAATCATAGGAGGCCTAGGTTCCTCTCCCCCCTCCTTCCCCTAGATACACGCATACTCTACCCCCTCCTACCAATCATTGCTAGTCAATCGGATTACTAAAGCTTCCTTATTTATTTATTTATTTTACGAGTGTGAATAGGCTTCATAGGACGTTTTCTAGCGAAATACATTCACACAAACAACCTCGCATCCGAAATTCGAATAGTGGATAAGCAATTACCGCAGCTAGCGTGGCTTGCGCCGGAATTTACTGATGTTTGCACGTTGGAGAGGTTTCAACAGGGTGATCTCTCACGAGAACGTATGCATCCCTCTCCCTCCTCCCCAATGCATACCAAACTTTTTGCTCCTCTCCCCTATACACCACCGCTATCCCCGCTAGTTCAAACTGGGCTGTAGCGGGGCATGCGGTGAGGGAAAGAATAGAGAGAAGAAACGAGTGATAAGAGCTAAATAACTCTGGACTTGGAAAATTTAAAGATACATGTGAAAGGGTGTTTAATCGACCGGACGGTTCCACATGGGACTACGTATTTAATTGTGGGGGTGACACGAGGTACTCCCAAGACGACGAGATATACAAGCAGCGTTCCCTGAAGCTTTCCACCACCGCTGCCAAGGAAGCTGCCAGGAAGGGTGTCAAGTGTTGGGTCGAGATCAGCACGGGGGCAGTCTACAAGAGTGACCGGGAACCTAGCAAGGAGACCGACAAGCTGAAGCCGTGGTTGAAGCTGGCAAAGTACAAACTGCAAGCGGAGGATGAACTAAAACAAATTGAAGGGTGCGTAACAAAAATAAAAAATAAAAATAAAAAAGCAAACCAGAACCAGGTTGGGGGAGCTGGAGTTGAGAGTGAGTGAATTGATTGTGCAGATGAAGTTGTTTGGTTGGCTTGTCTGTTTGATAGGAGTTGTTGGTGTTAATGGCGGTGGGGAGGAGATGGGTGGGAGGGGAAGGTTTGCTAAGTTTGGTAATATGTTGCTAATTATGACATTGTGTGGATGTTTTTCCCGTGGATAGGCTCAACTTGGTCGTCGTGAGATTGGCGAACGTTTATGGAGAATATTGCTCGAAGGTTATCGCGACGATATTATGCATGGCGAGGGTATATGCCTATCTGAAAGAGGAGATGAAGTGGCTCTGGACGAAGGATCTACGAACACATACCGTACACGTAACCGATGTTGCACGGGCACTATGGCATG